TAACAAGCTCTATAAATGTTCGAAGAACCTCACAAATGCTCCTCGGTTTGAAAACAGCCTGAGCTATTTCTCGATGGGTTTGTGTTTCGAGTGTGGTGAAAGAGAACCGCTACCACGAAGGGTGGGATTTTCCAGGTTCCACAAGGAAGGCAGAATCAGGAGCAGAGGGGCAGCTCCGGGGCCTCCTCTGGACTCTCTCCAGCAGCTCCAGGTCCTTGTGCTGTTGTTCCCAGGGATGGAGGCGGCTCTGCAGGGGGGTCTCCCCTGAGGGGGCAGAGGGGCAGAATCCTCCCCTGCCCTGCTGCCCACGATCCCTGTGGGATCAGCCCAGGGCACGGGGGGGGGGTTTGTGGGCTGTCCGTGCTCTGTCAGGTCATGATGAGCTTTCCATCAGCCAGCACTCCCAGTCCTTCTCCCCAGGGCTGCTCCCAGTCCACTCTCTGCCCGGTCTGTGTTTGGGATTGCCCAGACCCAGGAGCAGGACTTTGTACTTGGCCTGGCTGGTCTTCCCGAGGTTCACACAATCCCACCTCCCCAGCCTGTCCAGGTCCCTCTGGATGCCCCATCCCTCCCCTCTAGACCATTAGCTTGGGCAGACTGGGAGGTCACGGATGTGGGAGCACTCCCTGCGTCCCTGCACTTGCTGCAGCCGCGGGAATTCCATCTTTTCTGGTAACACACCTCGGGAAACACCCCCGGGCACACAGTGAAGGGCACGCTCTGATCTCCAGAACGACGCAGACAGATAAACGCCGGCCTTTGGATGTGGTTCAGAAATTCAAATGGCAGTTTCCTCGGGGCATCAGTAAATTCCACAGGGTCCTACTCACGCCAGGTACACGGTGAGTTGGGCAGCTCTGCTCCAGCCTCCAGTGACTGCTCAGGAATCAGGGACGAAAGAAGCCACTCCCCGGCTGCAGCTTGCAAATACTCTGCTTAAAATAACCCAACAGCCCTTATTAATTAATTATTTTTAGCCCCAAAAGGTGGTATTATTTTGTTACAATTCAGGCAAGATCTGGGGTTTTTAATGGCTCTCATCGTGTTACCTGGTGAACTCTACAAGGCAGGGACTAAACCTCTCCAAACTCGTGAAAATCGGTTGTAAATCTGAAACCTCACCCCCAGAAACTCCTCATTTTATACCACCCTTGGAAATGGTTCCTTATCATGCCGAGATAGCAGAACCTAGAGATAAGTCTGAAATTTAGAAGGAGGCCAAAGCTTTAGCTGGAAATCTGCAGACACTTCTTTGGAGCTGTGTCAGCTCCACTGCTACAAAATCATATTTGAATTTTCCTCTGGGGGGAATTCTGCTGCTTAGAGCTGGGTTAGAGCTCTCAGTCAAGAGCAGCAGAGGAAATGCAGCCTCCATATACAGGGCAGGTGAGCTGTGTGTTAAGTAACTTATCTGACTTTTCTAAATGTGACAACTTTAGAAGAGTTTTGAGATAATCATCTGCTCCTGTGGAAATGAATAAAAATAGGAAATCCCCACTATGGTACTGTCCTATGGACTTTAAATTCACTGTGTGAGTTAGTGACCTGGTTTGGTCTGAAATACAGCTAATTTTCTTCCTAGTAGCTGGTATGGGGCTGTGTTTTGGATTCAGGAGGAGAATAATCTTGATAACACTTTTTATAGAAGGGGAAGATGGAGGAAAGTCAGTCACAGAAACGTCACGTTTCATCCAAGGATGGATTTATTTTTTAAAAAAAGAAAGGATGGGTTTCTACTTTTCTTTTGTGTGTTTTGGGCAAACAAGCAGTGGCATCTTCACACTGCTTCCATAAATTTTTTTTTAGTGATTTATCTCTGGAAAAACTGTTCTTACAGCTGTGATCTTCTCTGATTGTCTGTCTAGTTCTGAGCTAGAACCAGTTTTCCTCAGTGGAGGAAGCATAGCTCAAGAGGTTCAAAGTCAGAAAGCATTCCCAAAACTTCTTGATGATCATTTCATCAATCTGAATGCATATTTCACACCTTGGGCAAAGAAACCCCCCCAGATTTCATCTTAAAAAGCAAGTTTCAATCCTCTAAGGTGAAGATGGACAGTTCAAAGGGAAGGAGCACATGTCTTGTAATGAACCAGAAACCAGGAGGTGAATCAAACTGATACAACAGGTCCAAAATTACTATGTTTGAACCTCCTGATCCCAACAACACGGCTCAGGAATCTGGATACTTGAAAGCAGCACACTTTGTTACTGAAAATACTGAAATAGTAGGGTTTTTTTCATCAGAAGTTAAAAATGGAGATGCACTGCCTCCCAGAAAAAAATAGCCACTGTTTTTAATCAATTTTTCCCCACCAGAAACACCAACATCCAGAACTCACACACAACTCCAGGCTCGCGGTGCCAAAAGCTTAAGCTTGAGGTGTGGAATTTATTGGGTGTCTCCACGTAGAATCAAACCATTTGGTAGAAGAGGCCCACACAGATGTGTCACTGTGTGGTAAAACAGGGAATCACCCAGGGGAAGAGTTTAGCAGCCCTGGTTCGACTCCTGGGAAATGCTCTGGAGAAAGGCAGAGCAGCTGCAAGGGCAGGAGGGAGGACAGAAGAGGATCCTGCAAGGATGGCCAGTGAGCTCCAGAGATCTTGACTTCCCCCTCCAGTTTCCACGATTCTTCCTGTTTTTGGAGCGTTGGCTGTTGAACACCCAAGCCCCAAACGCCAAAGGCAATGCTGTTAGCACACGAGTCCCTGCAGAAGGGGCATGACCAGCCCAGGAGCGCCGCAGGTGCCCGGTGGCTCGGTGGGCTTCCAGGGGTGTCTCCGTGGCGTGGGAGCTGCAGGGTAGGAGGGCTGGAGCGGAGGAGGAGCAGAGAACAGGCTTTCCAGCCCCGCACGGCACACTCAGCCTTTCCAGAGCCTCCCGGCGCGGCGGGAACAGGCCCTTCCAGTGCCGCGGCACGCGGGGCACGGGCGTGTGAGGGGTGGCAGGACCGGTGTTCCCGCGGTGCAGGGACGGGCACTGCCATGGGGATGAGCGTCTCCAGCACAGCCACCTACGCCGGGCAGGCGCTGCAGGGCACGGGGGGCACCGGCGGGGCGCGGGGACAGCGCTGGCACACCCGGAGCCGCGCGGTACGTGGGGATGGGGATGGGGATGGGGATGGGGATGGTGCTGCTCCAGCCAGGGGGGGTGGGATGGAGGGAGGTGCCGGGGGCATGGCTGTGGTGGGTGTTGGTGCGTGGGGGCATCAGGGGCGGTGAGGTGTGGGGTGAGTTGGCATGGAGAGGGATGGGGTGGTCTGATGGTGGGTGTTGGGTTGGTTGGTGGGGCAGGCTGGGGTGACATGAGGCAGGTGGATGTGATGTGGGGCAGGTTGGGGTGACAGTGAGATAGATGGGTGTGGTGTGGGGCAGGTTGGGTGACATGAGGCAGGGGATGTGATGTGGGGCAGGTTGGGGTGACAGTGAGATAGATGGGTGTGGTGTGGGGGCAGGTTGGAGTGATGGTGAGATAGACGGGTGTGATGTGGGGCAGGTTGGGGTGACAATGAGATAGATGGGTGTGGTGTGGGGCAGGTTGGGGTGACAATGAGATAGATGGGTGTGGTGTGGGGCAGGTTGGGGTGACAATTAGATAGATGGGTGTGGTGTGGGGCAGGTTGGGGTGATAGTGAAATAGATGTGTGTGATGTGGGGCAGGTTGGGGTGACAATGAGATATATGGGTGTGATATGAGGCAGGTTGGGGTGACAATTAGAAAGATAGGTGTGATGTGGGGGCAGGTTGGGGTGACAATTAGAAAGATAGGTGTGATGTGGGGGCAGGTTGGGGTGACAATGAGGCAGGTGGGTGTGGTGTGGGGCAGGCTGGGGTGATGGTGAGATAGATGGGTGTGATGTGGAGCAGGTTGGGGTGACAATGAGATAGATGGGTGTGATGTGGGGCAGGTTGGGGTGACAATGAGATAGATGGGTGTGGTGTGGGGCAGGTTGGGCTCATGTGGGCCAGGCTGAGGTGACAAGGAGGAGGTCGAGAAGATGTTCAGGAAGCCGGGGTGACGAGGAGGTGGGTGTGACATGGAGGAGGTCGGGGTGATGTGGGGCAGATGGATGTAATGTGGAGGAGGTTGATGTGCCGGGGTGCTGTGCAGGAGGTCGGGGTGATGAGGAGGAGGTGGATGTGACATGCAGGAGGTCCCCGTGCTCTGCAGAAAGTTGATGTGACACAGAGAAAGTCTCCGTGCTGTGCAGGAGGTTGATGTGACACAGAGAAAGTCTCCGTGCTGTGCAGGAGGTTGATGTGACACAGAGAAAGTCTCCGTGCTGTGCAGGAGGTTGATGTGACACAGAGGAGGTTCCTGTGCTGTATTGGAGGTGGATGTGACACGGATAAGGTCCCTGTCCCGTGCCGGAGGTGGATGTGACAGGAGGGGGTCCCTGTGACACCGAGAAGGTCCCTGTCCCGTGCCGGAGGTGGATGTGACAGGAGGGTGTCCCTGTGACACAGAGGAGGTCCCCGTCCGAGCGGAGGTGGATGTGACAGGAGGGTGTCCCTGTGACACCGATAAGGTCCCCGTCCGAGCGGAGGTGGATGTGACAGGAGGGTGTCCCTGTGACACCGATAAGGTCCCCGTCCGAGCGGAGGTCGGTGCCCACCCCAGCCCCGTCCCCTCCACAGCCGCTGCCGTTGCCATGGCGACCGCGCCCCCCCCCGCTCGCCCGCCCAAGTATTTCCGCCCCTCACGTGATGACAACAGCTCCCGCACACGTGACGGAGGGCGCGCTGTCAATCAATAAGCTGCCCTCCAATCACCGTCCGCTCCTCCGGCCTCTGTCCCGCCTTCCGGAAGCGGGCGCTCCAATCGGCGCCGGCGCCGTTCCAGCGGTTTGACAGGCCCAGCGGAGTGGGGCGGTGATTGACGTGGCGCTCAGCAAGTAGTAGCTCGGAGATGCGGCCGGGGTCCCGCCTCCGTAGCGCGGGGACCAATGGCGGGGCGGGCGGTGGCGCTGGCCCCGCCCCCCGGCACTGCGGTAATATGGCTCCAGAGCGGCGGCCGGGCCGGCGCCGCCGCCGCCATTAACCCCTGGCAGCCCGGCGGCCCCGGCTCCGCGGGGACCCGCCGTGACCATGAGCTCGGCCGCCGGCCCCGCCGCCCTGCCGCCCGGCTCTGCCGCCCGCGCCCTGCACGTGGAGCTGCCCTCGCAGCAGGTACGACCGGGCCCGCGGGCGGCCCGCGGGGCTGCCAGGGAGGGGGGTACTCTGGGGTGAATAGGGGTGCTCCTATTTGTTGTTGGAGTTGTTGGGTGTCCTGGAATACACAGGGGGTGCTCCCGGAGGTCTGGGGTGATTAGGGGTGCCCCCGGAGGTGTGAGGTGTTTTGGAGCAAACAGGGGTGTCCTGGGGTGAATAGGGGTGGTCCCTGAGGTGCGGGGTGTCCTGGGGTGAATAGGGGTGGTCCCTGAGATGCTGGGTGTCCCGGGGTAAATAGGGGTGTCCTGGGGTGCGCAGGGATGCTCCCTGAGATTCCCGGGGTGAATAGGGGTGCTTCCTGAAGTGTCCTGGGGTGCACAGGGATGCTCCCTGAATTCTGGGGTGCCCTGGGGTGAATAGGGGTGCTCCCTGAGTTGTGGGGTGCCCGGGGTGCTCCTCTCCCCCCTCTCCCAGCGGGCTGGGCAGTGAGCCCGGGGAACACACGCCGTGTGTTCTGCAGAGCAGTGAAGTGTCCCCTCCCCATCACATCCTTCCTTCTCCCAGCTCTGTTTTTCCTGTTTGCTGGTAGCTGGCTTTTGGCTCCCTGGGCAGCTGTCCCAAGTGTTGGTTTGGGAGAGCACTGGGAGCAAGGGTAAGCCAGGAAGCCTAGGCCCGGCCTGGGGCTTTAGCAATCCCTGTCAAGCCCAGGCTGTGCCCTTTCCCCTCTGGCAGGCAGTGACTTATTGCACAGGAGCTGGAGCAGGAGTGCTGGAGGGGGGAGATAATTAACCAAGTCTTGCTTTTCTTTAGAAACACTGAGATGTGAGTCTGCACTTGGTGTTCGGGTTCACTGACTCGGTGCAGTCACTGTTATTAGGAGGTAGAGACGTGATCTGAGTTACTTGAGCTACGTGTTACCAGGTGGGAATAAGAAGAGTTCCTCGAGAGAAATCAATAGCTGTCAACTGGAAGTGGAGCTGTAACTGCTCCTGGGATGAACATGTATTACCAGACATCCCCCCCAGGGGCAAAGGGAGGGCGTGGAGGTGGCTCTTGGCTGCCTGACCCTGATTTGAGAGCAAGTGCTTCTTCTAAAATGCGGGCCTGTTCTGTGGTAATGAACGTAAACGTGAGCACTGCTCTGCATGAACTTTACAGGGAACAGTGGATCCTCCAGGAGATCCAGTGTGGCCTTCTCCCTGCTGAAGTTTTGGTGTTATTCTTTCCCAGGCTTGTGCAAGGACCAAGTGAATGCTGCAGGGAGAAGCCCAAGCTATTAGTCACTGGACTTCATTTGTGAAAGTGAGACCAAAACAGAGGCTTTTTCTCCTAGGAGCAGAAACTGTTTTAGGAGTTTGTAGGAGCAGAACCTGAGTCATCAATTATGGGATGTTCCAGTTGAGTAAATATTTGGTTGGAGCCATCTAGGATGCTTGTGTGTTGATTGTAGTGAGTGTGAGGCTGTGACAGGCCGAGGGATTGTTGTGCTGTGTGCTCTGCAAACACAGGGACCATGTGCTGAGGGACCTGTGCTGTGTCTGTGCCTGCAACCAAACCCAGAGGCTCCAAAACTGCTGCTAACACACTGATAACAGATCACCCTCTCCCACTGCCGTGTCTGAGCTCAAAACTCTGTTACTGAACTGCAGGGTACCTCGAGGGGGCTCAGCACACTGGGGCTATTTTACTGCAGAATCGTGAGAAAGAATGGAAAAGTCATTCCCAGTTTGTTGTACCGCCTCTGGAATGCCAGAACCTGGCTGGTCTGAGCTCTGTGGTGCTGTGTGAGGCAACGGAATGGTTTGCTACCTGGCAGCACAGAGATCAGCTCTGGGATTTGTTTCAGTAGCAGTTTCTCTGGAACACCCAGTGCTGCATTTTTTCGCTCCAAGGATGAGAGCAGGATGGTCTGAGTCACGGCTGTAAATCCCTCTAAAGCCCGAATTCTCAACGCGAGGTGAGCGCGTTTAACGACTGAAGTGACACTTGAAGGGCCGAAGGACTGAGGGTGTTGGTCTAGGTTTAATTAGTCCAGTGACTCCCACATTGGTTAGAGAACAAAACTCCTGCTAGTGACACTTTTGCAGGAGTGAAAAGTCACGTCCAAAACCTTTTGCCACTTCTGTCAAACTGACTGAGCTCTTCTTTAAGTTTGTTGGTGGCAGGACAAGCAGGCTGAAGAATGCCTTTTGCTGTTGTATTCTGCATTTCAAGAGGGAGAAATAGAGGATATGGCTGTAAAGAAGTGCATCTGGTTAAGCCTAAAATTCCCATCTGAATCCATCAGTAACTGTGCCAGGATGTTGTTTCCTTTTGCTGGAAGAGTGATCCTGACAGAACCGAAGATGGGAAAGAATTACACTCCAGAAGCAGAGATTCCTTAGGAATGTCTCTTCCCAGTTGCTCGATGCAGGAAAACCAGGAGTGTCGTGATAACTTAGGGATTTCTGGATTCAATGCTGTCATTATAAGCAGTTCAGAGCAGTGGGGGGTGGGAGAGCCAAACCTCTCCGGCCCCATTCCATCCTCCATAGAAGGGCTTGGACAGAAGAATGCAGGCTGAGCACTGGGAGCCAGTCATGCTGCAGTCAAATGATCTGGTGAGTGTTGCTGTGCTGATTGCTGGCCAGGACAGATTCACATGTGGTTGTCTGGAGACAGGAAAGCCCCGAGCTGTGGACTCCTGGGGGTGCCTGGGGAGGTGCATGTGAGGGAGGGAGACAGACCTGGTGAAGGTGCTGAGGAGGGAAGGGGTAAATGTGCCATTGTGCACAGCTGGGAACGGGGCCAGGCCAGGTGACCCCGTTATTTCCTGTACCTTCAGCTCACAGACCCTAACCAAAGACTGGGACTGCCCTTTTTGGGTTTAAACTCTTGTTCCATGGTCCTTCCCATAAAGGAATGGGAAGCTGATAACAAGATCTGATAACAAGACCAAAGAAGTGAAGTTTCTGTCCATTCTCAGAAAGTTGTAGAAGAAATTGTTCCGCTGAACTACACTGAAAGAAATGGTACACAGTAAACATTTCACAGTGCTGGAGCTTTTGGGATGTTGTTATTTACAGGAGCTTAATGTACACAGTTCAGAAACTCGCATTGCTGCCCTGTATAACCCAGGACGCAGATGAGTGGAAGTCAGGAGTGAAGTGAACTTTAAAGTGTTTCTTTTGGAAGTACTCCTGGCAAGAACTTCCCCCGGGGGAAAAGAAACAGTTCTTCTGGATGGCAGGTACTTCTGGATGGCATTAATAAATAAACCCAGTCTTTTCAGCAGCTAGAAGTGACAGTCCAGGGTAATCAGTCCCTTGGGTGCATGTTTAGATACTTCAGGTGATCCAAGTGAGTAGAGGTAAAGCAACATGAGCAGAGTATGTGTGAATTAGGGCACGGCTATAATTTCATGGTTTCTTTTTTTGAAGGTGCATACCACTCACACACAGCATTTTGGGGAACATGGCACAAAGGGGGGATTCAAAGTGTGCTGGCAAATGTGTTTGAGGGGTCTGCTGCGTGGGAGAAGTGAAAAAACTGCTGTAGGGACCCAGGGCTGCACGTGGATGAGACTTTCAACTACAACAGTGAGCAAGTCTCTGTTTTTAAAACAGTTTTACATCACCTCTTGTTATATTATCCCCTGAATAATATGAAAACAAAGTCTGACTCTTAAATATTTTACTTCCCCTTTCCTACTAAATAGCAAGGGGGGGGAATCAGAAGAGTGGATGGAAAGTGTTGTATTTGAATATTGCTTTCACTTCTCTGTGACACACTGTCTCTAAACACTGAGTGGGAGGGAAGTGCTGCTCCAGTGAAACACCACAGCGTGAGTGATCTTTCCTGGTTGTATCCATGCCCAGCTGTATCCTTGTTCTGTGTTAGTTAGAGACAAATTAGGAGGAAATAGTTGTTGAAGTTCTGTAAAATTCCAGTGGTAACCCAAAAGGTTGGCTGTTCCCCCGGGGCTGGGTCTTTGCTCTCTGCAGTGCACTACCAGTTTTCCCTAAGGGATGCAGGTGTGTTTTGCAGACTGAATGATCTCTGGTAAGTTAGAGACTGTTCTGCCCAAAAGCTGTACTAAATCAGCCTTGGTGCTTCATTTGGGAGATTTGTGGGGCGTTAGGGAATGCTCTTAACTGAGTGAAGAAAAGGTCTTGCAAGCTAAAGACTAAAGTCTCATTTATGGAGAGAGACTCACTGGTTTGCCCTTGGTTTGTCATCCAGCAACGTGATAAACATTAATATGCTTCAGGTTATTAATCAGCATGTGCTGTTTGCTTCTGCAACCTGGTGCTTCTTTAAGGTCAGAAGTGCCTTTGCTCTGATTCTGTTGATGCTCTTGGTTCCCTAAGACCCTGGTTACTTTTTGTGTCCTTCCTTCTGAGCATCATCTTGGTTTCCATTGCTTAACTGGTACTCCCAGGTCATTCCCACAGCTAATATGGACTAATGCTCCCTTGCCCAAGGTGGTGTTAAGAGGCTTAAGGGACTCTCTGAAGTGCTGCAGTGTTATTAATGAGGTGGGACTTGCACCCCCATGTTCCTTCTGCCCCATGGCTCAGTTCCCACGCTGGGCCAGAGCAGCAGATGGAGTTTTGGTCTTTGATCTTGTGAATAAATACTTACTTAGACAAACTCTGAGAAGAAGTCAATAAGGAAAGATGGTCTTTCTGCTGGAAAGACTGTGTATTTCCCTGCTATTTGGATCTCTCATAGACCCCCACCAGGAGCAGCTTTGTCTGGCAGTGGGCAGTGCTTGTAAGACTTTCTTCACCCCAGTGTGGAGCAGTTTTTTTAGGGTGTGCTGACAGTGCCCTTTGGTGTTTGCCAGCTCTCTGGATCTGCCCCCCTTGATGTTGTAGTGCCCATAACCAAACACACCTGTTGGAACAATGCACAGCAAGAACTTCATTTGCCCAAGTCCCTGCATGGGCTCATGGGTTTGCTTTTGGCCCCTTCCTGCTACCATTACATCTGTGTTAATTCTGTGTTGTGGTTCTTGTTTTGTCACTCTTAACCAG